GTTCTAACTCTGGCCCACTTTCTCAAGCCCATTTTCCTCCTGAGCTTTGTTTTCTCCCAGTGGTCTAGACACCATGACCAAGCTTGTTTTCAACATAAGGCCCTCAAGATGTTGTTCCTTCTGCCTGTGATGTATGAACCACGCGGAGCACAGGACAACCTGCTTATGAATATTTGTGTTTCAAAGAGAATCTTCTCAAATAGCCAAGCTTCTCTAAATTAAAACATCCCCCTCCTCAGAATCACACTGACCCCTTTTAGCTCCTGTACAGCACAGCACTGCCTGAGTCTATACTATTGTACTATGGTAGCTTGCTCTAATGGTTAGGGATGTTTGCTATTTATTTCCAGTATGAGTGTGACAGCCCCTGGAAAGGAAGAGTCCAGTCACTTGTCACCACAGTTGTATCAGGTTCACTGTTGAGTACCTAGCAGAGCACCCAGAGGTTCATTGGGATATTCTTCTTTTTTAGTATCCCAATGTGTGTGTATGTGTTTACATATATGTGGATACTTGCGTATGCATGCACATGATCACATGTGTGCATGCATATGATGGCCTGACACTGGATGACTTCCTCGATCACTCTCTACTTTATTACTGAGGTTGGGTCTCTTACTATAGCTATCTATTTTAGCTAGACTAGCTAATCAAATTGTTGTGGGAGAAAATCAGGTTTTTTTTTTTTTACCTCCCACCTCCTGGGATATAGGCATGTACAGTGTTTCTAGGGATCTGAACTCTGATGCTCAAAACTGAGTGGCAAGTGTTTCATCTGCTGAGGCATCTCCCCACCCCAAGGGTGTATTTCCTTAAGCATAAAAACATTGAATTTGTGAAATCTATAAATTATCTCCATGGTTGAGTTTTAAAGTGCCTTTACATTCCATAGAAAATGTGTCTTGGACATAAATGGTAAACTCCTAATTAAACAGCTATATGAACATATGGATATTTTTCTAACAAGGCCAATTTCAACAGTATTCCAACAATTTCTCAGAATGTTGACATCGGAACCTGTCTGCATAATAAAAAATGTATCATACATCAAAAACTTTAATTCAAACAGCAAAATATTTAATCAAATAGTAAAATGTTCCTATGTGCATTTTTATGTATGCACATACTTCAGTGCTTCTAATGTTTCAGTATTTGGGCTCCACATCAACATCTTTAGAAGGTGGACTTGATGCTCACACTGTCCTGAAGAAAGCTGTAGCTTGACAACCCAGAGATGGAATTCCTGTTCATGTGGGCAGCTATTTGGTTTGGTCGGAGCTCAACTTTCTCATTCACCCAACACATCCAAGTCCCACTGGAGAGAGAGGCCTTGGCAGACGTCTACAGGGCTGTTAAAAATCTTTCCCGTGAAAGCACATCAGAACGCTCCTCCTTCTTTACTGCAACCAAGACATCACAAGGGTCTCCGGGGGGAGCTGGTTTAGGAAAGCATACCCCTTTCCTCCATTTCACCAAAATGTCCTGGACTAAATTGCAGACGGCTGAAGGAGTCTGACTATGGACTCCATACAATGTAGATCTGATGAAGGAACTCACCCCTACCTAGGACTTGTATCTGTTGTCAGCTGTTACAATGCTGGAGTCCATACCCACTATGTACTACATATATAACCGGCAGCAGCTGCAGCTACTTGTATTTCCAGTCCTTCTGCTGAGTTCCCACGGTGCCACCTGTACATTCACTTCCTTCACAGCCAGCATATAGGACCACCAACCACAGTTGCATTCTTTTCTTTTGACTTAATCACCTCCTCCACTTGGATAAAATGGGCTTCCCAGTACCATTTAACAATCTTTTAAATGTATTCTTTGCCATTAAGAATGCAAATGGAGAAACCAGAGTGGTAACTGTGGGGTTCCATCAAATGGTATACAGTAAGTCACACAAGCATTCCAAAGCCTGTGTGTTAATACTTTGGTGTTTTCACTGTCCCTAGACCTTACACTGCCAATGAAGTTGAAGAACAGTATTGACTGTTCCCTAAAGCACCCTTATTGATCCTCCTGACCCTGAAGTATCATTTACAGACTTTCAAACCCACTACAATCAGAAAACAGGAGAGACAGAGACAGAGAGACAGACAGACAGACAGACAGACAGACAGACAGCACATATTAATGAGTGTGAATGGGCATCCCACACTGGTTTTGATTTGCATTTCCCTAATTAAAAGTCACATTCACTTTGGTTTCTACAGCATTTTGTTTTCTGATAATTATTAACTAAGATCCAGTTAGATTACTACAGTTTACACAATATTAGTATTTGGGGTTGCAGGGGGACTGACTTAAAGAGAAATAAAATTGAAGCTAGTATTTAAAATGTTTCTCTGGTCACAGAAAATCTGGAAAATAATTGTTTAGGATTTCAAAAAGAGACAAGGTCCCTTCAACCCTAAGGAAAAGCTACCTCCTCATTTAGCTGTCTAGAAGCATTAAAAAAGAAGAATACGAAGTTTTCATCACCAGCTCTGAACTAGAAGGCCACATTCCAAAATGTATAAGAGAATGAAAAAGCTCAAAATTCAGGGTGAGTATCCATTTGTGTTTTATTCAATTCTCTCTTTGAACCATGAAGAAGAATTTTTCTTGGAATTCAAGCCAATTTCTTTGATAACATCATTATTTAATCTATGCCATGACCATGTCTGCCCTGAGTTATGAATGCCATTCCTGTGAAAATGAGTAACAGACAAGGGATTGGGCATGCGCTTAAAATACAGGAGTATTGGGCTAACTGAAAGAGTATGGAGGCTGTTAACCTATTCAGAAAGTATCTGCAGATGCCCCAAATCCTGGCTCAAGTGAGACATAAATAATAATACAATATTGGACTGGAGAAATCAGCAATACTGCTCTGCAGAGGACCTAAGTTTGGCTCCTGTAAGTGGAGACCGCTCGTTCTTTTCTCGGCCACCCAGACCTAAATAATCACACAGAAACTACATTAATTACAACATAGCTTGGCCAACAGCTTGGGCATATTTCTAGCTATCTCTTACCTCTTAAATTAACCCATTTCTATTAACCCGTGTATCACTACGAGGCTGTGGCCTACCAATAAGTTCCTGTGTCTTTCTCCTTCAGCAACTACATGGCATCTCCCTGACTGTAGTAAGAGGAGCAGTGGGCTGCTTTCTGGCTGCCCTGGCTCCCGCATGGCTACTTTATGCCCCGAAATAATTACACAGAAACTGTATTCTTTTAAACACTGCTTGTCCCATTAGTTTTAACCTCTTATTGGCTAGCTCTTACATATTGATCTAACCCATTTCTAATATTCTGTGTAGCACCATGAGCTGGCTTACCAGGAAAGATCTTAACCTGCGTCTGTCTGGAGTGGGAGAATCATGGCGACTGCCTGACTCGGCTTCTTTCTCCCAGCATTTTGTTCTGTTTACTCCGCCCATCTAATTTTCTGTCCTATCAGGCCAAGCAGAATTCTTTATTAATTAACCAATGAAAGTAACAGATAAGATACAAGACCCACCTCCATCACCTGACTCTGCCTACTCTCTCTTTCAATCTCTGTTCAGATTTCCCACCTGGCATTGCTCTGCTAATCCATTGGCTGAAACAGTTTCTTTATTAACTAACGGTAATAAAAAATATTCTTAGCACACAGAGGGAAATCCCACATCCAGCAGCTTGCTACTAATTATAACTCCAGCTCTATGAATATCTGATGCCTCTAGCTTCTGCAGGCATCTGCACACACAGGAACATACCCTCACACAGACATATACATATACATTATTAAAAATAAATATAAATCTTTAAGTAATACTAACACTAATACTAATAAATACTACTACTAATAATAATATCATATATAACATAAACCTGACCTTCCCACACAAACTTTAGTCATCAATTCTTATCATCACTGTTAGGTAGTAGTGACAGAATACATAAAGGTGCTTTAATGGGAATGTTTTCTTCTCTATACACATAAAAAACATGGTATATTCTATGGGCCATCCATTTGTGATTAGGATTTCATCACTCAGAAGCCTATGAATTTGATCCATTTCCTTCCCACCCTCAATGAGATTTCAATCAATGCTCCTCATTCCACCCACAAGGACAATGACTTAAAAAGTCATTTTAGACTTTAGACAACACTGGAAAGCTACAGACACTGTATCTAGAAAAAAATGTACAGTCTCATCTTAGAACTGCAGGAGTTTGGATTATCCCTTTACGAAGTCCGTGCACAGAGCCTTCCCTTTAAGACACTTCTGGAGCACTGGTTACAAGGGTAGAAGAAAGGGTCCCCGATTCCATCTACTGGTTATTCTAACGAATACCAGTACTGGAGGGTCAGTGTCCTTGAGTCCGCAGGAGAACCATTCACTCCAAACACAGAAGTGAGGTAGAGGATGGTATTCCTGTTCTCTACAGTCTTATTCTTGACAAAAATCACATCTATGGCGAGATGGAGAAAGGAATTCCTACAGCCAAGATACAGAAACAGATGGGAAACAAACAGTATAAACGTATATACATTTCTGCTCCATAGCTAATATACTAGACTGTTAGGATTCAACGTGTCTAGTGGCATCTCATTACCATGTGGTGTCTCCTGCATCAACGTTCAAGAGCTGGAAAAACACAATGGGAAATGAAGAAACTCTGTCCGCACTGAATCCTGATCATGAACAAAATATAGAAGGACATTCTCAATCCTTGTAGCATCCAACCTGGGGTTTATGCCTCTTCCCTTCCTCAAGGTTCACACACGAATGCCCTGTGCATGGTAGATGCTTAAACCACCCTTCAGATGTAATTTACTCTATTCAAAACCAAAAATAATAATAAATAACAAAATAATTAATACTTGGATATTATTGCAATAGTCTAATATCCGGATCTGTTAGAACAATAGAAACTAATGCAATGAACAGTATTGGAAACTATTAATTATAGTATGAAAATAAAATTTAACAAATTCCTGTCTTCACCTTAGGACAGCTCTCCCTGCTAAACCGATGAACTTGAGAATGATCAGAGGAAGTCAAGTCCACACATACACCTGCCATTTATTGCCAGGGTGGCAGTTACGGGTGAGCAAGGGTGTGACAGTTATTTAATGGTCCCTTAGGAATTTGAGTCCCTTAACTTTAGCACCATGTTTACTGTACAAAAAGATGCAATGATAATAATGTTAATAGAAAAATAGTATGTGATAACAGACCCTTGCATGATTAGACAAGTGCCTAGGGTTGGTAATCTGGCACATGATAAAAATGAGCATTGTTGCTAACTAGAGTTCTCACTTTTATCTCACATAGGCTCTCTGAAGAACTAGATGAAACCCAAGAAGCTATGGTCTGATGTAAGATGTCCACACCCTGTTGAAGAATTCTATACTCCTTATCTGAGCCCACAATGTTTTAAAGCTCGTTCAACAACCCATCTACCTGCCTAGGAACCACAATGCAATCAAGAGGAGAAGGATGTAAGGGGCGGAACCACACAGGCTTTGGCCTGCTGTTTCTTGCACAGCAGACAGTGGGTACAGTGGGAACTATCGCTACCTATCTGAGTCTCCTCACAGTGGTTTTATGTCCATGAGTCTGCTCTAAGGACCAAGGGAATGGGATCAGCATGGTCCCTGGCTATGCAGGTAGTTGTTGAGCAGACAGTATGCATTGCTTCTGAACATAGAGGAGCCTGGATGTTATGATCTTCCAAGTCAGTCAGTGTGTACCTTCTAAGATCACATAGTAGATGCTTATTCAAAATGACTTTGAGGTTTAAAGAGCCTCTCAATTACTTTCAACAAAAACTTGACTTACATTAATTTTTTAAAAAAAATATATGGGTCTTGGGGGTGAATGTGCATGTGTGAGTGACCATGCAGAAGCCTAAGGACAATTTCAGGTGTCATTGTCAGGACCCTCCTTGAAGCTGGGTCTCTCATTGGCCTGGAGCTCGCCACTTAGGCTAGACTGACTGGTCCATGAGGCTCGGGTCTCTTGTCTCCACTTCCCCAGTGCTAACATTACAGCCATGAGTCACCATCCACACCACATTTTACATGGCTCTTGGTTCAAACTCATAGTTGCAAGACAAGCATATGACAGACTACTGAGATGCAGTCCCAGCCAAACACACACTAATTCCATTCCAAAGAGAAGAGAAAAGTTAATCTTTTTAAATAAATAGAATAGCATTTTACTTTAATTTTCTTCTTAACTGAAAACCTTTCTCTTTTTTCAATTATTAAAAAAGTTATTAACTTTTATTTATTAAATTTATTCATTTATTTTACATTCCAACTGCAGTTTCCCTCCCTCATGTCCTCCCATTTACTCCCACACCCCCTCTACACCCCAAATCCACTTTTCCTATGTTTCTGTTCATAAAGGGGCAGGCATCCCATGGGTGTCAACAAAGCATGGCCTATCAAGTTAAGGGAGGACTAAACTTCTCCCTTCATATTAAGGTTTGGTAAGGCAACCCAGTGTCGCGTCCAACCCTCGACCCGCAAGGATAACGCGACCACTGGAGCTCTTCTCACTGCAGTTTTATTCCAAGACCTTATTAACTTTCTCTCTCTTCCACTCTCTCCTTCCTCTCTCCTTCCTCTGACCTCTCTCCCCTTCCTTCCTCTCTCCTTCCTCTCTGTCTTCCTCTCTCTCTCCCTGGGCAAACCTCTGCCAGCCTTTAAGTAGGCATGGGCTGCCAATCCCAGATTGACAGGTGGACACTGCCCATAGGCCCATGCATATGCAAGCAGCTGATGATCATTGCGTGATCAGGCATAAGTCAGACTTTAGCCATCTCAGGAGTTGATTATACATCTCCATCAGGTGTGACACCACGCTGCTCACTACAACCCAGTATGAGGAATAGGTTCTCCAAAGCCTCCACAGCATCAAGGACAGTCCCTGATCCCACTGCTAGGAGTCCCACAAGTAGAGCAAGCTATATAATTGTCACACATATGTAGAGGGCATAGATCAGTTCCATGCAGGTTCCTTAGCTGTTGATCAATGTCTGCGAACTCCTATGAGTCCAGGTTAGTTCTCTCTGTGAAAGTCTTTTTCATATGCAGCATTCCTTAAGAGGTAAATGTTAAAAAAAAAAAGTAGCTAAAATACACATCAGTAAACCTCGCCCTAGACATTCATACAAGTTATGCATACATACACACGTACATACAGAATCACACAAACTAGAGTTTTTAAATCTACAAGTGTATATTATGTATTAATCATTACATAATCCTGGTCAATATATTTCTCATTTGCAAAACTCCATTTTGCAATAACTAATTTGCACCTAACAGTGAAAACCTACTGCGTATTCATACTTCAGAAAATCCTGAGGTGGGAGGGGGGAGTTTTACTTAATGAGAGATTAATTTAATTATTTTTTCACAAGCTTAAATTTTAAAAAACAGAATCATATTCAGTCTTGCAAAGATTAGCTTCTCCATTCTAAATGAATAAAATTTCGAGTTTGGAGAGCAGCAGCAGCGAGCGCAGGACTTGGTGAGGTAAATGCCACCTTTCAGAGCCCACACAGTAGCTACTTTAGAGAGTCAAAGGGGCTGGCAAGAGGATTTATTTCCTGCGAGAATCCTGTCCATTCAGCAGTTCTGCAGGCTACTGTTTCACCATGCGACAGGCCCACTTATTCATAAACAAACCATTAACATTCTTGACATAAATCCATAGTGGACCATTAATCCCAGCTATGATAATGTTTTAGTGCATTTGCTGTGCCCATCATGAATAGGAGTGTTGTCTTGCAGAACCCATCCCTGACAAATAAGAGACAAATTATGCCCCGTGAGAAAACTTGGAGAATGAACGGCTTACACACCAATTACCGTCTCGTTTGCTGGCTGATGCCGAAATAGATCCTGTGTGCTTTGGGGGAAATACAGACTTTCCATAATAAGAACAACAACAACAACAAAATTTAAATACATATAAAATCACTTGCCAAGCTGAATTTTTTGTTGTTTGAATTTATTTCCAGGCTGGACTCTTGAGAGTCTTCCTAATAGCAAATCAGAAAGTCATGCCCTTGGGGGGAAAATATTTCCATGTAAACAAACAAACAAAAATGATCCAGGATGCTAGCAACTACAAAAGCCAATTGCTAACATATTTGTTATGTTTCAACATTCATTATAGTCCATATCACAGTTGTTGGGAAGGCCTGTGAGTGATATAGCCAGGAATACCAACTTATTTGAGTTAAGAAGACTCTATGTTCCTTTAAATATTTAGATCCAGTTTATAAATCACCACATACACCTCAGACATTTTGAAAGATAAATTTCTTCATGGTTAAAAAAGTGTTGGATAAGATTCCATCTATAAGGAATATTCTACTGTGTGTTTATGATTTAGGCAAAGTGGATTCCTTTTGAGTTCTTTAACCCTGACATCCTAAGTGAAACTGCTATTGGTAGCTTAGCAAGAGCAACCAACTCTAAAGACTCCATTTGATGGATAAGTATCACCAGTGCTACCTCCAGCCTGTCTGCTAACCAGAGTCCCAGGTCTGTGCTCAGCTAGAGAGCAAGCACTGCATCCATTCCTATTTACGGAAACATGACCCTGAACTTTTTACCACTCCAGAAACTATCAGGATTCCAACAGTGGATGGGGAAGACAGTGACAGTGGTGCTCCAACTTCACCCCCACAAAAAATCACTAGAGGACTCTGCTGAAACACATTCTGGGTCAGTAGATTATAGGAGGCATGTGATACCCTGCATGTCTAGTAAGCTCTCAGGTCAGGTGGATGCTGCCTTCCCAAGACCACATTTCCAAAGACAACATGGAAAGAACCATGTTGTGAGAGTGGCTTGATAGATCTTTTTTGGGTCTCTTGAAGCATGACACCGAAGCCTCTTCTTCTGTTGAGTTTTGCTTCCCCTATTAAGCTGAGCTCAGCTTTAAAGCCTCCAATGCATCTCAAGGAATGGTGCCTGTGGCTAGTGCGATGCCTAGCTGTCCTAAAGGGACTGTGACAATGTATTTGATAAACAGCAAACTGTGATAAGTGTCCTCTCTGCTCCCATACACGAGCTGACAGATGAAGTCATGGAGACTCCCCTCAGTTAGACATACTGCCAACAACTCTAGGCATATATTGTAAGTTCCACTTCCAGGGATAGGGATTATCTCTCTCTCTCCCTCTCCTCCACCTCTGTTGAGATTATGTTAAGGTGTGTTACCTTTGTTTATGTCGCACTTGTTTAACTCTGTGAAGCTATGATACTTTGCCTGTCTAGAACACCTAGTGGTCTAAGAAAGATCTAAATGGCCAATAGTTAGGCAGGAGAAAGGATAGGCAGGGCTAGAGGCAGAGCGAATATATAGGAGAAAAACTGAGAGAGGGAATTCAGAGGAAAAGTAGCCAGAGAAGGAGGAGGACATCAGGAGTCAGTCAACCAGCTGCACAAAAATCCACAGAGTACGAGTGATGTTGTAAGAGGGGATAAGAGAAGAAGAAGCAGGTAGCAATGGGCCATGGACCACATTCTGGCTTTCAGCACACAGTGATAAAGGTGAGAGGACAAGATCTGGTGTGAGCAGGACTATTTGGTAAATTATAATTGGTACCTAGAAGTCAGAGGTAAAGATGAGGTAGAAGGATGGTTCCTAGGCATGATGAAAGAACCCATGCCTGTCTATTCAATTATAGACAATAGAGGCAAGCAAGAATATGGAATCAAAGCTGTCACTCTCCCAAGAGTCAAAGGCCACAGCTGATAAAATGGTATAGGATGTGAAATCTCTGGTCTTTAAGGTGCTTGCTGACATTAACAATAAAATTCTACGAGCACTATGCTGACCAAATGAAATGCATGGTATGGCAAGTGTGGCCTGCTGGCCAGCCAGTGTGTACCCTGTCCTAGACAGTGTCTATGGGTGGTATGCTGGCTGATCCCCAAAATCCATTGTCCCCCTTCCTGCATTACATTTCCCCACCATCGGAAGTCAATATGAACCAATGAGACTGAGTTCTCCACTAACTAACTCAAGCATAAAAATCACAGGACGTGCATGGCACTTGCAATATGCCTGCTTATAACACATGCTTATTTATGATACATAACTCATACTTTTAATCCCAGCACTTGGAAGGTGAAAATGAAAGAATTAAAAGTTCAAGGCTAGCCTCAGCTACAAAGTTTGAGGCCAGTCTGGGATACATGAGACCTCGTGTCAAAAGAACAACAACAAAGAAAGGAATGCCTATTAGGAGCAGACACTTCAAAATGTTAAAGGAATAGCAAGCAGCAGTACCTCCTCTTCATGATGTCTTTCTGCTCATGTCTAGGTTCACACATGAGACCACTGGGGTGCTGGCACTGCCGTGAAGAGGAAGCCTGGATCACACAATCACCACACGGGAGAGAGTCACTGCCTATCCAGGAATCCGGCTTTGAATGGTTCTTAAAAATCGACATCTAAAGAACTTGAAATATTATATTCTATGTTATATTTTAGAAACTACTAACCACCAAAACCTAGACTGGCCTGCTTAATACATTTTCTAGAGTCAACAGCCTGAGGTTTTGAAACAGAATCTTTCCTCTCCTTTGAGCTGCCTTCCATTGAAAGGAGAAGGCTACTCATGTTGGCTATTCACACCACCTTGAGCAGCAGGAGGGCCCTGCCATGTTCACAGACTCCTTGCAATTCCCCCCTGGTGTCTTTTGGCTGCCAAGCTACTAGACTACTCTGGCTAATGGCAGGGACCCCCTGAGGCCTGGCTGGACTCCTTGAGGCACAGGAGCAGCCAGACCACCACCTGAGGAGCTCCACTAGTCAGGCCCTGCTGCCCAGACTTCCCTAGTAGCCCTAACTGACATTCCTAGCTCCTCCAGGCTGAAGAGTGGAAGATCCCACCCTATAGGAGAAAAAACCCTACCAATCTCTGAGGCTGCCCCAAGATCAGGTCATATAATCCTTCCAATCCTTGGCTATTCTGGAAAATTCTGCCCCTTCAAGAAACCCTATATAAACAATCCTGTGTTCTGCTCAGTTCTGCTGCTTCTCACCCACTCAGAGGCAGCCACCCTCCTGGATTTTCCTTCCCAATGAATCTCTGGTGTGTGGTTTGTCATGTGGTGTGACTTTGGTATTCCTTGGCACCTTTTCATCTGAGAATATATCTTCTTTTAAGTTCATTTATTCTTCTCTTGTACAATGCATTTCAAGGCGGCCTCCACTCCTCCCGGTTTCCGCACACAAACCTCCCTTCTTCCCTAGACCTATTGCTCCTCCATTTACCTTCAGATAAAGGTAGGCATCCCCGGGATATCAACGGAGTACAGTATAATAAGGTGCAGGAAGACTAGGCACAAACCCTTATATAAAGGCTAGAGAAGCAACTCACTAGGAAGAAAAGGGTCCCGGGAGCAAGCAAAAAGGTCAGAGATGCTCCCCATTCGCACTGTTAGGAGTCCCACAAAAAACACAAGTTAAACAACCATAATTTATACTTGCAAGGCTCCATAGTTGACAGGGATTTCTGTCCCACCAAGTCCCACAGGTTTAAGTCCCAAAGAAACACACATTAATTATAAACTGGTTGACCTATTAGCTCAGGCTTCTTATTAACTAATTTTTATATCCTACATTAACCCAACATTCTTGTCTGTGTTAACTACATGGCTTGGCACCTCTCATCAGCGAGGCATTCTCATCTTGCTTCCCCTTGGTCTGGGTAATGACTGCCGACTGAGCTTTTCTCTTCCCAGAATTCTCCTGTTCTCATCACCCCACTTCTACTTCCTGCCTGGTCGCCTTGCCTCTACTTCCTGCCTGGCTACTGGCAAATCAGCATTTTATTAAAATACAAGTGACAGTGTACAGATCATTGTCCCACACCTCTCCATAACTTCTGCTTCAGTCTTTGTGAGTCCCTGTGAGCCCTGCTTAGTTGATTCTGTGTGTTGGGGAAGCCCAGCCAATCAATCACCTTGCTTGAAGGGCAGGATCCCCTGAGGATATTATTTACTTATAAATATTGTGGGTGGTGTGCTCCCCGCCTCCCCTTCTGTTTTCCTGTTCTCCATGGGAACCTCGGATTTGTAAAAATAATTTACGCCCTAACATCTGTGGGCCATGAGTCTAAGAGCCAGGAGGATCGAGAAATGTACCTTTAATACTGACTGGGAGTAGATACCCATTCCTGCTCAATTATGTTGACGTTTTATTTGCTGATTACTTAGCAGTAGAAGTAACAATCATCTAGAACATTCATAAAGGTGCCCATGAACAGATTGGTAAAAAGCTACCAGAGAAAGATCACTACAGGAGAAAAGAAAGGAGCATTCTGTAAACCACCTTACATAACTATTCATCAACATCCCAAGATAGCTCCCCTGAAACGGTGACTATAGTTTATATTGACAGGCACCCTAAAGTTTCACTTCTTACCTTTTTTTTTTCTATTTCAAATGTCCTCCAAAAATGCTTTGTATTAGCAAGGAATTACTTGAACTTAGAAAAGTGGGTGAGATTCTGGAAACAGATATTAGAGAGTCATCCTAAACTAGAAGAAGTAAGCAGGGAGGCGGGAGGTGACTTCAAGACACTTTGTTCAATATCTTTTGCTACACAAGTAAATATAAAATTCAAATAATGCAGATTTTTAATTTTTTTGTTCTTTAGGTGGCAATGTTTTGTTGAGGAAATGATTGAATCCCATGTTTCAAATGAGATGCAGAGGCCCCCAGTGGATTTGGGAATCAGGGAACATATCCATCCTCCAGACCAACGTGGGTATCTGCTACCAACAGAAGTCCCCTCCAGGGGAGACACCTAAAGACTGAGCAGAGGATTGGTGGAAACAGTTAAGGAGGGTTAATCACTTGTTCCATTTGCTTCACCCAATAGGATTTAATTAAGTCTACTTTAATTAAAATTTAATCAAGCTTTCTGTGGCTAAAGACAGCCAATGCTGAAAAATCACATTAACCAGTATTTTCTAAAATCCCTTTTCAAATAAAATGGTCTCATAATGAAAAAAAAGTATTTATCATGCTTGTGTATTATACTTTCCTAAGAGTGTGAGGCAGAGATTGGAGCAGAATAAAATGATCACAGAAAAGACGGTGTACAAAGAAATGTGTGAATAGATATGGGAAGCTGACTTGATAAAAAAAAAAAGAAGTCACCCACAAATCAGAAAGCTGAGTAGCAAAGAGATGCTAAAAATGATGGCAATGTTTGTTTCCAGCAAGCTGCTGAGAGAGGAGGGTCCTGTTCATCTACTGCCAATCTTCTACCAGTGCCCACTTGTGGACACCGTGCCAGAGACACTGGCCATCTTTGCAAATGCTAAATCTTCAGTTGTCTGTGATACATGAAAAATAGTTACTTATAGATTCATGATTTTCTTAAACGGTGTATGGAAGTAATATTCGGCAGACAGTTGATCATGTCTATTACCTGTGTGAACATAAATTGTCCTAGGCCTAGAAAATGGTGTCGAACGCTCTTGGGAAATCCATGAGTCTCTGTCCCAAAGCCAGAGTATTTTTATATGCAGTGGGTAACTCTCCATCCATATCTTGTGCATTAAATTATAAGTCCTGGGCTTTGTGGAACCATTTGAGTGACAGATATCTCACCTGCTTCTGGACCCACCTTGATGGTGATCTACATAAGTTATCAAAACAGCAACTTTTCAAGCAAAAAGCATCATAATGCAGCCGTGTGTGTGCGTGTGTGTGCGTGTGTGTGCGTGTGTATGTGCATTGGGCACCTAACTGTATCTAAACTATATCTACCACCTAACTGCATCTCCATCCCTTTAATGAATTTTGATTACCAAATTTTTCAAGTAAATTATATCTTCTGATTGGTGAGTTTCTTTCTGAATTCGAAGTTGGTCACAATCCTGCAGGCTTCTCTAATGAATAAGAATGTTAATGGATCTCAAAGTCACTCTTCTGGAATCAATTTTAATTTTACGATTTCACAAATAAAGAATGCACTAGACTGGTTTAATATGTAACAAACCCAGACCCACCCAGATTGTTTTTTAAGCTGAGTTGTTATTATGGTCTCTTTTCCTTGGAATTTGGACTTTCGGGGGCAAAGGGCAGAAAATGAAGAAAAGTCTAATTGGTTTCTTTTTATCCTATAATGCTGTGTTCCTGGGCTGTGTTTGAGACAGAATTGCCTCCCTGCCCTTAGATTAAGGGTCTAAAAGTTCCTTCAAGATAAATTTATAATTCCCTTTCAAAGTACAACTTTTGAAGTTCACCTGAAGATGAAGCAGTATTACATCACAGACAGAGGTTATATAGTAGTCATACATTGTAAGATTTCTTTCTTCCCGTCTATCAAAATAAAAGTATCCCAGAAACTTGTGCAGTAGAAAGAGTAAAATCTGTAAGAATTTCACTGAGAGAACAGAGTCCAAGGTGGCTTTCTGTGCTGTACTCTGGGATAAAAAGTGGGTCCAAGTTTGGACAGGGGCTTTCTCTGATGTTCTGTCTTACATTGCTGTTTTCACACAGCAATAGCTATGTGAGGTTGCCACTAGGAATAAGCCACAGAGACAGACTGAAGCTCCCTTCCCACCCCCAGGGTCCTCTAAGGCTTTGTCATCAGAACTGAACTGGGATCGTGGTTGCCTTCTGGATGTCAGCACCACAGAGCGGGGAAGAGGTGAGCAGGCGGAAGCCCATGCTGAGCAGTTCACCAGTCTCACCACTTATTCACCACGTAACCAATGAGATACTACTATTCCGTCTAAAACATGAGGACACTGAGTTTGTCATTGCCACAAAGCCCAGCAAGGCAAGTGGAAAATAGAATCAGAAGGCAGGATTTCTCCCCACAGTGCTCTCCCGTGCATCATCCCTCCCTTACCACAAAGTCCACCCTCACCCAACCCCACCCCTGGACACAGAGCTCCTGAACTCTTTCTTGAAACTCGTTGCTCAAATACGATGCCCTTTGTAGCCAGCAACAAAGAGCAAGGATGCCAGAAGACAGGAATAGAGACACTCAATGATTCGTTAGATATCACAAAATGAACACCGGGACCAAAGGAAGAGAGAAAAGACCTGAGTTAGGGGGTAGATTAATTCTGATGTAGACTCCATGACTTACTAACCTGGAAACAGTAGGCAAGTATGCGAACCCCCATTGAGTCCTTATACTTCACAGATCAAAGGCAAACTTCCTGTGTCTGAGAATTATGGAAAGAGACTGAGCGGATCATGGGCCCAACATACTGGGGCACCCCTAAACCTTCCTTCTATGCCTGATCCACCACACAGCCATAGCCTCATTCAACCTCAACAGGGTTTTTGGTCATTCTGAGTGACATTTCTCTCAAGGAATACATCTGTTTGCACCATCCATCCGATTTAAGCCCTGGCTTTTTTCAATTAGGGAAATTAAATTCAGAGCATCGGAGCCAAATACAGAGGCAAAACACAGAGCCCAGAATGGCAGAGGAAGTGTTGAGTCAGCCTCGGGGCCCTTTGCAAGAATAACATTCTGCTCACAATTCGTCCCCCAGTCAGCTTCTCAGTAACATAGTCTATTCTAGCGGCAGCTCCTTCTCCGAACTTCCACACGCCACACACTCCTGTCTCTCTCCAGAGTGAACACTGCATCACCGTGTCAGTCTGTCCTCCACACAGCAAATACATATGACTGACTAGGACCAGACACACCTGAGCTTAGTCAGTTAAAAACTTAATACATGTTGTGCAATCTGTTGTTTACTTTAAGCTAGCTAGTCAAGCACTGCCAATCCAAAATAAAAAAAAGCCATGCCAGTAAATTAATTATCAAATGCCACAATTCTATTGACAATTTTAAACTCTCCTTATTACTTAAATATCTACGTGGTCATTGTGGAAAAGGGGGCAAGACTGGGGAAATGGCTTGGTGGATGAAGCACTTACCCCACAAGGACAAGGACCAGCAATTGAGTCCACAGCACTGATATAAAAGCTAGGAAGGTCTAGTAACCACATGAAATCCTGGAGCTTTGTGGGTTGGCTAGTGGCGGGATGAGAGAGGCAAGAGTTTCACTATTGTTCTGTTTTAAAGTCTGTTCTTGTTTCATTTCTGTTGCTATGACAAACACCCTAACCAAAAGTGACTCAAGGAAGAAAGAGGTTTATTTTGTTTTCAATTCCAGGTTACTCACCGTCATTTTAAGGAAGTCAAGGCAGGAACTCAAGAAGAGAGTCATATAGTATCCACAGTCCAAAGCAGAGAAACAAATACATCCATGCTGCCTGCTTGTTATTCCACATGTATTTCTGTGATCATGGAGTTTGCTTCACACCAAAGCCGTGATGGGCATGCTTATTGAATGCTCGGGTTCACTTGCCTAGGGAGTAGTGCACCCACAGTGGGCTTGCTCTCCTCCATCAATTCATGATCAAGACATTTCCAAGCAGACATGCCCACAGGCCAATATGATCGAGACAGTTTTTAGACTGAAGCTCTCTTCATGAGATTCTAGGTTTTGGCAAAGATTTAAAGGTAACTAGACCATAGTTTTGAAGTCAAACGAAGCAAACCATCTTTCAGAATGTTTATTGCAAACTTATACTTTCTCTCTGTGACTATTAATTTGGGCCTTGCTTGTCTTTTCTGCAGTGGGTGTGAAATTGTGCATCAATACAATAGACTGTTAGCTTGTCAAACATTTTGCAGGGTATCTTCCCTACTGTGTCATTTGTCTTTCAGTGGTGCAAAGCATAATTCTTTTAAAAAGGTTTTAAATGCTTATTCTATTAACTATAGTAGATCATAGAGGGCTTTAGTTTTTTGTTTTGGGTTTTGTCGTTGTTCACTTCTTTTTGAGAAGAGTTTGACTACATAGTCGTGTAGCCCTTGAGGTCATTATATAGTTCAACCTGTCCTTGAACTTATGATCTCCCTACCTCCAACTACCCAGTTCTGGGATTATAAGCAAGCACCACCCAGCTATAGCATGAAAATAACTTATGACCAT